GAGCGGACTCGAACCCCGCACTTCGGGTGTTCGAAGCAAATCTTTTAAATAACTGAGCTAACACGCCATACGTATAACATGTTTTGAAGCATCAGTATAATCGCTACATTGTTGCCATTGTTCAACAAAATGGCGAAAGAACTACTATGAGATCACAGTTAGTATAAACGGCCAATCTCATTTGGCTGAAACGTAGGCATTTATCATACAGATCATCATATGTCATTTTCCTTGTGCGTAGAACCATTTAAATGGCAAGTTATTATTCTCAGAGAATGTGGCCCGGTTTAAACAGAACCGTTGTCAATCACGTTTCCACGTACACCGGGTTCTCTTTCGGCGCATCAACTGACGCATAGTTTCACTATACATCTCATGCTTGCGCCATATATAAGGAGCTTGGGTTCAAGAGTGTCATGTACCAGTGCCCGACGAACTTATCATTTCAGGATCAAAAAGTTTAGCGATCTGCAGCTTGGACTGTTGCCTGCAAAGTAAATAGTACCTGGTTCAATTTATTTCTTTAATTCACAGGAGTCGCCATGTGTCGATAGTCATATGTATTTCCTGCTACCCATGCATACCCATTTTTATCCTTTTGAGAAGGGAGGTAAGAGAAAGCTACCACTGACCAAGGTACGGTATCATTTCCATCTGTAAAGCAGGGAAAAGATTTCTGAGGTAGTCGTCAAGGCTTGTCGTAGATACGAGAACGGCAAACTAACGAGGGCACTGTAATCAAGAAGAGACGGATATTTTTTGGCTTTACTGAAAAAATCTGCTAATCAGAAAGATACTGAATACAGCTAAACATAACCTCCATCTGCATTTGTTATGGAGAGAAGTGAGACACAGTATCACACAATCCACCAATGGAACAGGGATGACACTGTTCATTCTTTACACTCGATGTGAATGAGCCTTAGTTTACAAGTAACATGATGTGCCTTGTATGAGCTCTGTCTGCTGAAACAGGAGGTGAGAATAACATGGCCGTTCGGTTCACGAAAATGGGAAAAACAAAACTACAAACAATCCAAATCAATAGCTGTAATCGTGCAAAAAAGCATGGAAAGGTGTATCTGCTGCTTTGGGACCATACTGCTAAGGTACAAATTTTTTGAAAGACCTGGCTTGCGCCGGACAGAGCCTCCATGCGTCTCAAATACCAAACAGTACTTCAGCCATTCAAAAATCATCTGGAATGGCCACTGATCAATGAGGAATAGTGCCGACAGAAAGCCGCCGCCATTCCTAAAAATTCGAGCTTTCTTTCACAAGGCGGGACCTTCCCTGGCTGGCTTCTGATAAAATATTCGCATCGTCGTGGTGGGCGACCAAGTGGTCTAATCCTCCCCCGAAGACATCAGTCGACAATCACCGCCAACAACCTTACGTCGGTGAACCGACATAGACGCAGCCCAAAAGTAATTTCTGCTTTCGGCATTCGATGACGGCGTTCACACTCCCGTTCGAACTCTGATCGCCATGTTGAACATATGGCAACAAAGTAAAATTCTTAACATGTTTCTTTCCATGGCTTTCAGGGTGACAAATAGTTGGCGCGCCCCTCGGCTTTCGTCAGTGACTACGTCTCATAGCCATACGACATTACCGGCAGGAAGGTAAAACTGAACATGTGGGTGAGAGTTTGCTTCCTAGTTGCCCAAGAAACCGCGCTTGATGGAATAAAACGAGTGCCAGCAGCCCTCTTTCTCCGCTGAATCTCTCCAACCTGATCATGCTGCATGTTTACCTCTTGTACGTAAATGAATTTACCTGCTTCGATTTTAAAATCGTTTAATATTACCTTGGCCTTCGGCAAGGCACCTTAAAACAGCATCTTCGCTTTTAACAACTGCCTGACTTTCGAGTTTTTTGGCTTTTGAAGCACGTATTGTAGCTGATCAGTGTCCTCCGCAAACAAGAAAACGTCATCAGCGAACCCTAGGTGGTTGGACTATTCACCATTGATGCAAATCTGTTTTCCAAGAAAGGAAAACCATTTTCAAAAGGCAGGGAAGAGTTTTGGAGAGACAGTATCCCTCTGCCTCACCATTCATTCTATGAGAATCCGAAGGTGGGTGTCGAAAAGCGTGATTTCTCCTCGATTTGCAAGTTGAGGTAATATGTGTCGATACCCTGTACTGCCAATGCAGTCAACACTGAATTGGCATTACTCGACAGTGTCAAACGCTTTTTCGTAATCAGTGAAGGTGACGCAGAAAGAGAGATGGTATTCCCTCGGATGCTCGAGATGTTGATCTAAGGTAATGATATCATCCGATGTGTTGCAGCTCCTTCACAATCCTGCCTGTTCCCTTAGCTGATGTTCATCCAAATCTTTTGAGGGTCTGTTTGTGATGATTTTGTGAACAGCTTGCAAACTTGTACAATTATTCAAAATATGAACATCGAACAGCATGACCGCAGATCTAATTACCTCTGCAAAGATCACACCAGGACATTACACTATCGCAGTTGCTAACAGAACTTTGATTTACTGCCTCCTTTCTCCTAAGTACCGTTGGACGTGAAATTAGAATAATCTGATTGTCGGGAGCGTGAGGTGAAATATAGATAAAATCAGAGAAATGAATTCCAATCTGCATCTATGCTGTCGCCCTAAGGAATATATTACTTACGACTCAACAATTCAGAAAATGAGGCATTTTGTACTGTTCTAGCTGCGGCATCATCATCTAAAATCATCTAAACCTTGAACAGCAAATTTGGAAAAGATTTACGATGTCAGCCGTTAAAAACTGTTTTATATTAATATTAGAGGGATTGAGAACACACCGATACCTGAAAGACAGATCTGCTTGTGACAAGGAACAGGAATGAGCCTTGCTGCAACAGTGAACGTTAATATTTGTAGACCCATTATTAAAGGCCAGAATAATAAATCGTTGCTACTCCGCTATTCAAGTTACATTAACCTTAACTGAAGGCAAAGAAACAACAATGGAATACACTGTCACAGCACTGGACGTGATTACTAAAACAGTAAAAATCACATCACAATCATAACCGCTGGCAAATTTCCTCTTAATGGGGCGCTTCCAAGGCTTGAATTACATTAGAACGCGTCTATCGTCAGCGGAAGGTTCTTACACGAGAAAAATTTTGTACTGACGTTCAAGCCAGTAACGACGCTAATG